CTGTTTTTGTATCAAGCGAGAGAAAAACATATATCTTCTTGCTATACACTTATAATTATGCAATATACATACATTTTAATTCGATTCAACTGTATGCAAAGTAAGTCATACAATTGCAGCGAAATAGGCCAGCGAATTATACAGTTTTATGTTTGCTATGGAGCGCAATTATACAAACTTTGCTATGCCATACAAATATGAATTTTTTGTTTGTTACATGTGAAAGTTGCCCTAAGTAAAAAGAAAGGTCTGGCCTAGGCTCATCATTTAACATCAAAATGCAAAAATATTACAGAACACTACTAAAATAATTACTACTATTGTTTCACAAAGAAATTATTTATCATATAGAAAAACAAGTGAAAATCAAATTTTAAATCATAGATATTGTATTGATTTGCGATAGAGAAAACCTTTATCTAAGTAGTGAAAGTTGAAAGAATCATGGTTAATGATGCTTAGGCCATTTTTAACACTTGAGCTCTTTTACAGCACTACAAATTTGACTTTTAAGCTTCCTTAACAGCACTGATTTATCACATTATAATTGAGGTTTAGGAGACAGCTGTTAAATGAAATGATTCACATTAGAACTAAACCATATGACAAATAATGATTATATTATGTATGCTTTGTTTCTTTTTATTTGCTCCTAGTGGAAAAAAGATTTTGAAATCATGTCTTTTTTATTACTGTCGTCTACCCCTTAATTACTCTAAAAAAGTAACTCAAAGTACAATGAGTCATGCATCCAATTAGGGCTATTTGGCCCTGTAAATTCTTTTTTTTTTTCTCCATGCTCGTTATCCATATTAAAATTTGATATAATCTATTTTTATATCAAAAAGATCAATATTGGAGTAAAATGAGTAATAATTTCATATTCAAATAGACTTAAATTGAATAGTATATGGAAAAATACTTATCAATCTGTCACAAATAATAATTTAAATTTCTCTTACTCATATACGCCACGGTTAAAAAGAAGAACGTTAGCCATTGTTTGATATCACTTGTTTGAATGGGGTCGTATGTTTTTTATCTCGTAAAAACCAATCAAATACAAATTGAGAAACTCTTCAAAATTTCTATTTTTTAATGATATTTATTTCAAATGTCACCAAATAAATGTCGTAGCAGCTCTACTTTCCTGCGTCACGAAAAATGAAAAAAGCAAAGCAAAATGTCTAGTAAGAAAAAAGAATACGTTTCATCCAACCATTTAACTATATATAACTAACAAAATAATATTATGTATCCAAACAAATTTTAACTAAATTTTGTGTATCGGCCGTCAGATTAATTTTTAAAACATGTAGCTATCACAATATGATAGAAACAATCTTTTCATTTTCTTTGTTTAATTTATATTACAATAGATCATTGGGTCCATAAACAGTAACAAGATATAGAGGAAAAAGGCAAATGAATTAATAATCCATTTGTAGGACTTAGTCTTTTGGTTGTGAAAATACTATATAATAACAAGAAAAGGCTATATCAAATAATGGAGCTATAATCTCTAGACCAAGTTTCTCCACTTGCACATTTAATTAATTAATTTAAAGCTAACTGTGTCAAGCACATGGGCTTAGAGGAATTAAATAAATTCCATTAAGATATTTGAAAAGCATCCCATGATTCCACCAAATATATTTCCAGCCAATGAATCATTACTTCTTGGAAATTAGATTTGGAAAATTTAGGGTACCTTCATGAAACACTAGGATTAATTGGCCCATATTTGATAAAAAGAAAATTGAATTTGTGCTTAACTCAATTTTAAAAACTAACTCGAAAAAAAATAATTACATTTCATCCTCCGATGTATGATTATACTAGCACTCTCGACACACCTAGACTTGATAACTAAAACTAGATAAAGACAATATGAGGTATAAGTGAAACAAGAATTGGTTAAGTCAAATTCTGGTACCACAGTAGGAAAAAAAAGTTTCGAACTTAACCTAACTCAAGAAAATTAGCTAGACGTGATAAAATGGGCAAACATGGAGTGAAATAAGAATTAAATGATCTTATTAAATCTTATACAATGATAAATAAAATAGACATTATTTCAACCTCAAAAATTATTTCAAAATTGAAGATGAAAACTATTCAAAATCATATAAGGATACGACTTGTCATTTCTCCCATCATTGTGTGACTATTGACACCCCAAAGAGCCCTTGCATGATTGCTCGAGCTACACAATTTATACAACTTAACTTTGATATCAAGATTTATAAAATATACTCTAGGCCTAAATTTGATTCTAAAGTTAGAAACTAGATAAGATAATATCACTGAAACAAAAACTCATATAAACTTAACTTTAATATCATAATAAAGAAAATAATTCTTGAATTATAATTGCCAAATAAAATACAAAAAAAATAAATTTCCATCTCAGACTTAAATCTTATACGAGAACTGCCAAATAAAAAACAAGAAGACAAATTTTCATCTCAAGCTTTAACCTTACTATCGTAATAAAGAAAATAAATCTTAAATAAAAATTACCAAATAAAATACAAAGAAGACAAATTTCCATGATGTGTGACTTCTACCACATCCTCATTCCCATTATAAGTATATATAGACAACATCTATCTTTATATTTTAATTTTTAGGCATCTATTTTATATTACCTTCATTGTTAAAATTAGCAAAAAAAGGACTAAAAAAAAATAAAAAAATAGGCAATGTATAATTAACCACTTGTTCATTTTTCATTTGGTTTCTTAATTTGTCCTTGATCAAATGCGTATAAAATTTGCCATAATTTGTCTGTGACATGCAATATCTATATAATTATTTTCTCTAATGGATTTTTATGTGCATAATTTTGTGGAAATAATTACATTTAATGACTTGAGGTGAAAGATTCTGACTATTTTTTTCTCCTGTAAAAGTGGAGGAAATCAGGGGGCTGTGATTTTTTGTTGAATTACTATCACAATTAGACAAAAATGAATATTGAAAAATTAGTATACCAGTTAGGCCAGATCAAGACCGGTAAATGACGAATTGAACTAAATTTCGACATATTAAAATGACTTAAATTAATAAATTTGTGATAGATTACTACAACACCATCATCGAAAAATAATTCAGCGAAAAAATTATTGAAAGTACATACAACAAATAAGAAAAAGAATAAAAAACAGTACTCTATTTTGTTTAATCAATGAGTCATAATCCAATCGGTCCAACTCTTCGAGTTTCCATTTGTTTGCAATTAATTTAATTATTTGATACTTTTGTATTATTGTTATATAGAATATATCAAATAAAAAAAGTTCAAAAATGCTTTGACAAGAATTTCTCATGTATAAATTTAAATTATATATCATCCAATTTTCTGATGAATTGAATAAACAAGTCAGAGTCAAAATACACTAAGAGAGTGCTTAGATTTGCTTAAAAGTTGGTCAAATCTACTTTTATGTAAGTTTTTGACTTTTGAAAATGTTTGATAAATATAAAAATAACTTGAAAATAAGTTAACAAGTGTTGGATAACGTCAAAAATGACTTAAAATAAATAAAAAATCAAACGTAGATCTCCACCTATTTTTTTAATTTTGACTTAAAAACTATATTTTTTAAAGCCGATTCAAACTGGCTCTAAGTTTATAAACGAGTGATGGAATTACTCATCTAAACATAAGTCAAATCTATCCCTATTATTACGTTAAACAATATTGAACTTTATATTATGTTATATAATATGCTTTAATTGTTAAGGTCTTGATGTGGGCACGATGGTGTTGATCAAATGTCTCATACTATTGTAACGAATTAAAATTTTTGATATTGAGTTAGACTTTCAATCAGTTTATAATAGGAATAGCGTGCCCACTCGCATGTGCAAATTTGTGGCATCTAACGAAGATAATTGTTACATCAAAGAATTTAAAGGAGCAAAAGATGAAGTTATGAAGTAACAATCAACAAATGTCACTACCCTATCTATCACACCCAACCCAACAATGCAACTTATAGACCTAAAAAACTAACATGGCTATGCCATTCATTTGAAACCCTACCAAACAGAATAAAAATGACCTTCACGTTAGTTTTGTCCCAAAGGATTCCCCTAAAGTAGAATCCCCATTTTTTGCTTCGATGTTCAGTAGTATTCGTATTGAAATTTGACTAATCTGAACCCGTGTCCAGTAAGACCCCATTTGGAGGTTAGCACTCTCTACCAAGAAATGTTTTTATACTCATGACTCGAACTCAAGACTTTTAATTAAGAGAGGAACAATCTCATCCACTGTATCATATCTTTTTTGACGTACTCACAATCCATTTGATGATAGTATTGTATCCCTTTTACATCCTTAAATCTAAGGCTGACATTCGTCCCAATCCGACCAAAGAAGAATCAGAATCTGGTGCTTTTTGAGGAATCAAAAGAATGATAGCCCACTTGTGAGGATTAGTGTTCTATGTAGATTTTTTTTCATGAATAATGTCAATATTTTAAAAAGTAAATGAGTTAATAATAACAAATAAAGTTATTTTTTATACCCAATATCTTCATTTTGCTTCTATGTATATAAATATGTTTGTTAGCCTATTTGGTCATATTCCAAAAAAAAATTGTTTATTTTTAAAAGCAATTTTCGAAAAAGTTTTTTTATAAGAAAAACAATTTGTGTTTGACAGGTTAACTTTTATTTTATTTTTTTAAAAAAAAAGCAATTTTGTTGATCCTAGAACAATAATTTATGTTTGGTCAAAATTCTCATTGTACGTCGGGATAACACTTATATAAGCCGTTTGATTTGTAGTATTAAAATAATATCAATTGCATAATTTTTAAGAAAAATTATTTTCTTACAAAAATACCTTTCATAAGTGTAAAACATGTGGAAAGTACTATAAATATTTTTTTTAATGTATATTTTTGTCATTTTAACTGTTTTATCCTAGGATAAATCATCTCAAATTTTTATTCTACCCTAAAGTAGAAATAGCTTTAACTCATACTAATTATTAATCATGAATCAAGTTGCCCCAAACAAGAGATAAAAGGGTACTAAAAAGTTATACTCAAGGTTATTTCATTTTATCCATTACACTAAACGTTTCCTTATTACTCGTCTACAACTATTACTTAAAACTATTTTTTTTAATAAAAACTTACTCAAACATCACTATTTTTTTTAATAAAAACTTACTCAAACATTTCACGTTCGATCGATAAATATTATGTTATTCTAAAAATAGGATGATACTATCACTTTGTTTCATTTTCATTTGGAGGTCCATGGCCATGTGTCGTGTTTGTCATGTGGACGAGTGGCGGCTTTCGATTTGCTGTGTCAACGTTAGTGGATTTTTCTCATTTTTTTCCCCTTTTGAATAAATGTATTATCATAATATTATTGGTTTGTGAAGTCACGGCGAAGTTTGCGGCCAAGAAATATTTGAGGTAATTGAGGAAGAAAATTTCATTTGTTGTGTAGCTTACTATATATATATATATATATATTGTTGGGACCATTCAACTTTGATTTATAGACCAAAAGCATGTGCTATAGTGTTTGTTATATGTATGATCTTATAACATGTCTTTTTCTATATGTATATAAATTTAATGAATAGTGAGAATGGATAAGACTTTTAAGTGAGTTTAATTATAATTTGTGTAACTATAACTAAGCTAGCTCGCACTTTGTGGTGATGAGACATAAAAAGTCTCTTTTAAATGAGGTGGGGATTTATTTCATAAAAGTTTGAACTAAACTAAATAATAAATGGAAATGAATATAATATGTTGTGGATTTTCAAAATTCAAACTCGCCAATGGAATTTCTAATATCCCCACAAGTTTGAGTAGGTAGATTTTAATACTTACAAACCTAACTCAAAAGTCATAAAAACTTAGCGTTAAGAAAAGAAATTAAAATTAACCGTTGTGAATCATATACTACTAATTTTTTCTTTTGGAAAAGTCGTGAAAAGATTACCATCGACAATCAATATTTACATGTAAAAAGTAGTCAGTCCAAGCCTCAAAACTAGTATAATAAAAGTTAGTTACATATCGACATGAATCATTTACTTAAATTTTTTATTTTGGTCAAATGTATATTTTCAAGACTAATCACTCACGAGAAAAAAAAATATGAAAATTTATACATTGCTTTTATAAAATGATAAGTATTACTCTCTCCGTTCACAAAGAATAGTCTAGTTTAACTTGACATGGAGTTTAAGAAAATAAAGAAGTTTTTTGATCAAGTAGTCCTAAATTAAAGTTATGTCAAATATATAAAATTGTTCTTTAATCTTGTGGTCTTAATCATGCCACGTAAATAATTAATTAAAAAAAAGAGATTATTCTTTTTCAAACATACAAAAAAGAAAAAAATTTATTTTTTAAAAAACAAAAAAACCCTACTATTTATAGTAAAGAAATACATATAAAAAGGGACAGAGGGAGAGCTAGTATCTCCTATAAATAATAATACAAAAGAAACTAAATATATTAAAAAACATTCTTGACAGTTGGTCTTTTATTTGGAAGTTTAATTACAGTTACTCCACTACAAAAATAGGAGTAAAAAAAAGTAAGAAAAAAGAGGAGACAGAAAAGTGAAAAAGGCAAAATAATGCATTAGATTGCTTGTAAATAAAGGGTAAATGAAGACAAATGAATAGGGTCCCATGCAAATCTAGTAACTTTATATGCGTGATGCCAAATCATTTTTATAACTATATAATATTGCTAGACTAAGTTGGCCTTGTTTAATTAGCTTTGGGAAAATAATCATTTTAATATTTTTCATATGTGCGTGGACGCATAACATGCCATTCACTAATAATTTCTCTTCTTTTTTTTTTCTTCCAGTATTAAAGGATTCAACCACCTATCTTAATGTTTTAATAACGGACAATAACATTTATTTTTTTTTGAAAAAAATGAAATTCAAACTTTGAACTTTGAATGAATTAAATAGATCATAACAAAAGTAAATTAATAAAGCAGATAATGACAGACGCAAAATTTTGAGTTGAAAGATTGAAAATATAGGTTTTAGAACATAAACTTGGAAGGTCAAGATGAAATTTGAACTATTAAATTATTGAGTCAATTTTTGACTTTATATTTAAGACGTTTAAAAATTATATATACAAAAAAAAACATATAGTATATATATAGTATAATTTTTTTAAAAAAAAATTCGAATGATATCTTAGCCTCTTCTAAATTCGCCCCCGAAGAAAGGGATTCCCATCGAAAATTAAATGGAAAACGCAATTTATGCAACTAATCACAAAGTGACATTATTAGGGTCGGTGACATTTTGTTATCCTGTGCTGGTCCATTTTTTCCAAAAAGTAAAAAAGAAAAGCCAAAAGAATGTGCAAATTGCAATACATTTTTATTGGTCCATAGTATTAATCAAATTTTTTCTTAATTACAAATTTAAACAATTTATCATGAAAGATAAAAAGGAATATAAGTTTGTCTTTCATTTTTGGTAAAATTGAATTTGTTCTCCATCTATCCAAATAAAAAAGGTGCACTTTTAATGGTTATATTTTATTTTATTTTATTTTTCTTAATTCTTACCTTGAGGAATACGATCCAATGTATCATTAACAAAAGTTGAGTACGCATGTATCGATATATAGTTATCATATAAAATGCAGCTGTTGGAATATTATTAAAATGATCAAAATCATATACGGCCACTTAAACTTGCTTCGATTATTCATTTAGACATCTCAACTAGACGTACTACCTATTGAACACTTCAATCATTTTGAATTTGAATCATTTGAACATTTTTTCGAGAATAAACAAAAAATAGAGGATGTGTGAAATCACTCGCACTGACATGTCAATTTGACCAATTAAATAATGACATGTGTTATTTTTTAATCCAAAAAATTATTTTAACATTATATTATAAAGTAAAAAAAAAATTATTTTAAAGTAAAAAAAATGAAGAAAAAAAAGTAAAACTTAAACACCTACTGCCTTCAACTTCAACTGGAACAAAACATGTATTTCCTCTAACTCCATTAATGGCGATCCTCCCCTCCCTGTACAGTTCCATCTTTAACCCGACAATTTTTTTTCATCAACTTTTTTATTAATTATAACTTTTTACTTCATCTCGTTTTTTAGGTAGAGAAAGATGGAGAAAAAAATCTCTCCAAAAAATTTATAAATGAAACAAAATGCTAAGAATTTTGAAACCATTAGAATGGTGGGTGAAGAAGATAACCACTGATACTAAGAATTTTGAAATCATTAGAATGGTGGGGGAAGAAGATAATCACTGGTGTATGTGTATGGGGT